TTCCTGGGCCCTGAACCTTTTGAAATTCTGACTCAGCAGGTCTGGGGCAGAGTCGAAGTATCTGCCTTGGCGGACAAATCAGTAAAAGGCCACCCCAAATGAATCACCCTTTGAGTAATGATTTTCTGAGGACTTGTGGATACTTTTTTTTTAAAGATTTATTTATTTATTTTAGAGAGAGAAAGAACAGGAGGGGGAGGGCCAGAGGGAGAGGGAGAGAGAGTCTCAAACAGACTCCGCACTGAGTGTAGAGCCAACATGGGGCTCGATCTCAGGACCCTCAGATCACGACCTGAGCTGAAACCAAGAGTCAGGAGCTTAACTGACTGCGCCACCCAGGCGCCCCTTGTGGATACTTTTTAAGGTCTGATAAGTCTACCCTACGTCTTAGCGTTGAGTCAATGAGACCAATGAGGCCTTAGTGGCAGCCTGGTTGACCTTATCTGGGATGTTCCAGTGTGCTTCCCTTCCATGTTACTGTCAGAAGAAAGGCTGTATTTAAGAGTGGGTCATCACACCGTTCTACCTGACATGAGCCCACTTACCTACTCTAGGTGTTCACACCTAGTGTCCTATTTTCTCTTGGCAGAGATGGCGCTTGAAGCCAAATCTCTTGATGATGTCAAACCCAGTGTGTTTCACTGAACCACAGTTGTCTTCCCTGGGTGACCAGGAGTCTCATAAAATGAAGTTTTTGTGTTAGGTAATATTGAAAATATTTAGCAACCAGTAAAACAGGTGCAGGCCCCCTCAGAACCCACGCAGTTGAGTGCTCCCCACCCCACTCTGTGGCCCCGCCCATTGGTAATGGTAAAGTACCCTTCAAGATGTTATCACTTGGGACTCAGGCCCCTAATTAGGGGTGGAAGAGAGAAGCAGGAAATTACCTGCTTTCACCCAACTTCCAGGACACATGACAGGAAATAGAAAATGATGCCTAAAAAACGCAAGTTCACTCTTTTCTTGAAATAGAGTAGAAGGACTGAAATATCGGGTTGGTTTCCATGGAAATGGTGACAGACTTTTTTTTCCCTCCCAACTACAGCTCAGACCCATGATCTAACAAGTGTTCCTGTATTTATGAAGGTAAAGGGTCACAGTACTGAAAATCATGACTGTCCTACAAATGACAGCAGGTCAGCTGTCCTTTGATCCTCTCTCAGGGCCTGTACGAAGCCCCACATGGGGACAGGTTGATTTTCCCTGCAGACTGCAGTTTAGAAAAAGCTCTAGTCAGCTACAGGCTTCCTTCTTTTTCTCCTCCCAGCTTCACGTTCCCATCTGGTGGGCATCTTACCTCTTCTGTCCTGAGTTTTCATACTTCATATTTAATCCTCTTAAATTGCACAACTCATGATTCTCTATTTTCTTATGAAGTTGAACTTTCACTTTTGATAGAAGTTTCTAGCCTTCTTCTTCTTTTTTTTTTTTTGTACAGACATTTAAGTGTGGAGCATTATTGTCCTAAGTGCTCAAGTCATTTCTGACTTGAAATGACTTCTGACTTTAAATAACATTCTGATCTAAAAATCCCACACTTAACACAGCAATGCCTAATAACCATGCTCACAAAGTATTTAATGTAATTGGAAAATATTTTTTTCTGGCTTCACTTCCCGTAAAGCATTCCAATATCACTCATTCAAGGAGCTAAAATAGGATCTTGATCTCAGTATTAATTGGAGGTTAACATGGAACCTTAATTTTAAATGTATCAAAGGAAAGAAAACAGTGGAGACCCCAGTGTACATCAAAGGCTAATTCTCTCTGGCCCCGCACAGTGGCTCTGTGGCGGCCTAATCTCTCCCCACACCCCAGTGCTGCCAGAGCTCCTGCACCACAGAAGGCACAGCAACATCTTCGGGACCCTTCCCTCATGCAAGGAACTCTCCGGCGCACCGAGGCCGGACCTGAATTAATCGCAGCTATTTACAAACTCTCAGAAGCTTGTCACACACCAACAGAAAAATCGCCAGCAAGTCAGTAAGCGGCCTCTCTGGGAGTCACTGGTGACCTGCCTCCCGATCGCTTCTCACTGAACACCGATGGAACCCTGGCAAGGAGGTCAGCTCAGCCTCTGCCCTGCTTGCAACCTCTACAGTGGGAGAGGCCCTTAAGGCGCTGGGGCGCTAGGCCACGGGGATGAGTGAGAGGCCAAGAACAAGGTGGCAGAGAATTCGGAGTCCAACACCAGCTGCACACAGGGTTCAAAGTGGTGTCAAATGTCAGCACTTCACAGGGAGGAGATCCCTATGCACATACCTTCCTCTCCTAGGCAAGGTCTCGTGTGCATTTTTCCTTTTTTTCATTTATTTGAAAACCTTGCAATGCAGAGGAAGGGATTATGTGCTGGGAGTGTTTCATTTTCAAATGTCTTTGCACATAGCTTTTTGCCTCCCACCAACATTTCAATCACCCATAATGAGTTTCACTAGCAAAAAGTTTTTCATTTAAAATTTGAGTAAACACGATGAAATCAAAAAGGATTCAGCATGCCTAATTCTGAAAGAGAATTCTGGATAAAGTAACCATCTTTTGGTTGAACCAGATGAACCGGAACTTCATCACCTGAACCTTGAGTCAACCTGCATATAATTTGAGACTTCAATAGGGGAGTGACGTTTAGGCCTTGAAGAGCTAAATTTTTATTTCATTAGGATAAAAATATTTTAAGTGTATCTTACTTTCTGACCACACTTAGTAAAAAGGGTGTTCCTTCTGCTACTTCTCCCTGTCCCCTTCTCTTTTTCTTCTTTTCCTGATAAGTGTAACTAAAACAAAATTTTTAAATGATCCTCAATACAACTCTTGAATCACCTTTCCTCCAGTGCTCTCTGCTCTGAGTTTCCAAATATTAAACATCAAGTGGCTTCCACTGAAGTATAGACTGGGGCTCCTCCTGGCAGCAGAGTGCCTATTGTGGAGATCCTTGTTACTGTTATTTTAAAACACCTCTCACGGGCAACCTTCCCCTTGCAAGGGCTAAAGCGATTACTGGACCTGCAAAGGAGGCTAAATCCTCTATTCTGAGGACAGCCAGTTCCAACAGACAACCCCTCCTTCCCCGTGCTGGAAATTTTTTTTTTTTTTTTTTAATCTCTAAGAGTTTTTAGCTTGAGCTGATAAAAATATGTTGTTAGTGAGTGTTTTCTTGAGTATAGTGTATCCCTCAAAGCATTTTTCTGAAGAGGGAAATGTTAAGCTCTTGATAAATGAAAAATAAACTCTTGTTCTCCAAGATAAATTATTACAACGAAAACTTTCTCTAACCTAAAAATCTAATACTAATCTTTGGCTTTGCATGGTAGAGTTTCTCTAAACTGTTGAATGCTGTCCTCATTTCTCAGACCTTGTTTTGGTAAAGGACCAGGAGAAGCATCTCCAAAGGATGAATGATTACCTTATCCTTTTACTGCAGCCTGGGGGATCTTAACCTCTTTAAGCAGTGGCATGTAAGTTTTGAGGACACCCAGAAGCTTGCCCCAGGCTTTAGACATTCTCAGGTAGAAAAGAAGAAAGAAAGGAAAAGAAAGGCCAGCTAGGGTATCAAGAAGGCAGAAATAGAATAAGCCAGGTAGTTCCATTCTGATAAGGTTGGAGATCTTCTGTGAATCAGGTAAACTGACCTGCAGACAAGTGCCCTTGCTTGGGCAGAGGCAGCCTCTCCTCTCCTGGGCTTTGTATCTGGGGCGTTCATTCTCTGAGCACACTTAACGGCAAGCAAAGCTAGAGATAGGCTCTATCCCAGCTTCTCTGAGCAATGAGATTATTCTTTCACTTTTACAAACATTTTTAATCACATCTTCTTACCTTTCCTTTGTGCATCAAAAAGAGGTTATCTAAAACTGAATTATAATCATCTAGGTTATAATGGCTATGTCACAAAAACTGGAATCATCAATTTTAAGAGGATTTTATCACCAACACTTTATAGCTCTTGATTGAAATGAAATAATAGACATAAGGAATGCTTGACCTTTGAAATGGCACCCCAACCCCTGCCAAAGGAAAGCCCACTTAAAAAAAAAAAGAAAAGAAAAAAGACTGTAGGAAAATGCTGTTCAGACCTAAAAGTCAGAATGCAGAAAGTTATTCCTTTATTAAGACTCTGCAAATTGGTCTTATTTTAAACTCTTTTATAATAAAGCCCATATGTCAGAGTAATGATGTCAAAACCCTTAAACTACACTGGTAAATTGAAAAGGTAATGGAAAATGAAAGATTTTATTCAGGTTTTTTTGTTGGTTTTTTTTTTTTTTTGCATTTTGCTGGTAGTGCTGCCTATTAAAAAAACATAAATAAGTAAAACAAAAGTATACTGGTATATCTAGTTTTAACTTTAGTAAGACAGTTCTGACTACTTTACTTTATGACTTTTGTTGTTTTCAAATTAAATGAGGTTATCATATAATATCAACTATAAAAAGAATGCAAAAACAAAAGTTAGGAAGAGGATATGCCTAGAGTTAAGGAGTCCTTGACCTTAAGTGGTACGGTTATAGTTCATGTTTTTTTCTTACTTTTTTTAGTTTTCAGAATTTTCCAATTTTCTTATCATTAATATTTATGACTTTTAAAATTTTATGTAATTTCATTTAAAGTATAAAAAGATTTCAATCATGTTATTTCATTCTTGGGTGTTTCTTTTTAAAGATTTTATTTATTTATGTATTTATGTATTTATTTATTTGTTTGAGAGACAGCGTGCTCACAAAAGTGCACATGCAAGCAGGGGGAGGAGCAGAGGGGGAGGGAGAAGGACAAGCCCATTTAGTGCTCAGCGCGGAGCCACCTGGGCTCATCTCTCGACCCTGAGATGGAGACCTGAGCTGAAACCAAGAGTCCACTGTTGAACTGACTATTCATGGATGTTTGGAATGAGAAGTTTTTGACCACCTTTCCCCTTCTCATCCCTCTGCTCATCTCTGGATTGAGTTCCTCCTTGTGTTGCTTTTTTCCTCCTCTCATTTCCCATCCTTCTTCTCTTTCTCCTTCTTCAGTCAGCATCCCCAGCTTGGGACTGAAGTGCCTGCCTAACCCTGGGAGGCTTTTATGGAAAAGAGGCCAGACGGAGAAGAAGACTGGTCCTGCCTGGGGCAGCAAAGCTCCAACTCTGTTTCAGAGTTGAAGGGTTGAGACCAACTGTCTCACCTTACAGAGGAAGGAACTAGAGTTGACCGTGGAGTGACTTGCTCAAGGTCACACCATCAGTTGGGGGCAGAGTAGAAATTAGAACCCAGGACTAGTCTTGCAGCTGGAACCTGTGAAAGGCTGTTGAAAGCAGCAAACTCAAAAAAAAAAAAAGAAAGAAAGCAAGCAGCAAACTCAGAAGCATACAAGGACCAGTGAAGACATCTAATGCATGAAGGAGGCTGGATTTTTCTAGAGAGTACTGCTGACTGTGGTTTGGGTGTGTGTGTGCGTGTGTGCGTGGTGTGTGTGTGTGCGTGTGTGTGCGTGTGTATGTGTTTCACTTCCCCACCTTAGAGAGAGAGAGAAGCACAGAGAAATGTCTCTCTGCTGTAAGAAACACAGCAGTGTCCCAGCAAGAGAAACGGGGACTGACCTGCCGCCTCAGTGTCATCGGAAGTGGACGAGCTCTAGCCACCACATCTCAACAGCCCCTTCAGCTGTTACTGCCATGGAAGAATCTTCTTATCTGACAAGAGAAGTGAAATATTAAGATTTTTGTGTGAAGTTTCCCAGTTTTAAAATGTTGATGCAAATGTGTAAAAATACTATTTAAGCCAGGCAAAATGTGGCAGAAGTTTGCAACCGTTGATGCCGAATGTGAGAACAGGGCAGAGCTGCCTCAGGATCTTAGAGTGAAGATAAATGTTCTGTGACCCATGCTAAAAGAGGGATGGGCAACTGCTGCTGATGGTTGATCTCAGAATGAAGTAGCATCAACATACATGATCAGCACAGGGGCGTACTGGGGCACTGAGCATTCTTGGCAACTGTTCGTTCTGTGTTTCTCATATCCTGCCTGGTTTTTTTCCCCTTTTACATTAAAAACAAGATGAAAATTGCTGCATCCTTTGCTTATAACTAATACACAAACTCTCCCGAACCCCTGGTAGGAAGCTGTGGCAGTACATTGGGGTCTACTTGGATCTAGGTGTGGAAACTTGAATATAACACATAAGGTCCCCAAAATGTGTGAGCTTCTAATCTGATGCCTATAGAAGGGATCCTTCTGGCCAGGTATGGGAGGGAGTCTGGTTCTGTTTTCCTCCCACCTTCATTTAGAAAAAAAGGAAACCCTCTCCACATCACAGAACTTAGAAAGAAATTGACAAAGACCACGCCATCGCATTCCCTTTGAAATCAACTCATAAGAAAAGGCATTGTTTAATGTACCACTTAACATCATATTACGTGAACTTCAGAAAGCCCTGGTGAACATTTGAATTCATGTGTGCTCATAAGAACAAACCATCCTGAAGGAAACAGACGGCTTTAGAGTTTGTCTTTGTTTCTCCTGCCAAAACATTCCAGTGGAGCACCACAGAACCATATTGGATGGTTTAGGGACCTGGATAAATTCTGTGAGAAAATTTAGAGTTCTTCTTTTGTTTTGAATATTATACCATTTTTAAAGAAGCAGTGGTTGAATTTACAGTCGTTTGTAAATTCAGTTGCTTTTACATCTTCAAATCAAAAAATTATATGTCCTTTCAGTGTTTACAGGGCTCGTTCTTTAGCACAAGAACAATCTTTTTGAACGAACTTGGATCTTGTACTAAAGAGTGTGACAGTTTTGCTAATGCTTTGCATGTAGTAAATATTCAATTAATAATCAATACTTGTTATGTATGATTCAGTGTTGAGCCTTCTTGACAAATGGCCACAGCACAATAGAAGGCAATGGAAAAGTGCTATGCATAGTGCATTCAGGGAAGCTTTCGCACCCTCCAGAATGAAGGGAGATGCCAAATTCTTCATGACTAATTCCATAAACTATTTAAGCATTTTCCTAGCTTACTGTTTACTGCTGCTGTTTTATAGCAGTAAATACAATTTATTATGCCAGCTTAATATGAGAGATTTTTCTTCCTTGTTTGAAGAAACACTATTTAGACTAACTAGAGATTTATGCTCACCACCACTGTCCACTCTGGGCCTCATTTTCTCGGCCCCCCTCCGGACTTCCTGGTTCATACAGTCTACTCTGGCACACCACTGCAGTCTTCGTGAAATGCCATTCGAATCCTGGCCTGTGCCCCACTAGATAACAAGAGCTATTGAGCACTTACTGCGCCTGGCATTGTGTTAAGCACCTTTTATTCATTGTCTCGTTTAATCCTTGTAACAATCCCATGGGGTAATCTCCATTTTACAGAGAAGCAGAGGGAGGCTCAGAGAGGTTAAGTCCATTGTGCCAGTTAATTGTAGATTACATTTTGGGCTTCATTTATCCATTTAATGACACATACTCTCCCTACCTGCAGCCACAGCAGCAGAATGCACTGGGCATGGTGACACCTCTGTCACATGCTGTCTTCCCTGTCTGGGAGGCTGTCGCTCACTTGGGACTCAAGCGAGTTCTCCCCACTGTGAAGTCTTCCAGATATCCTTCCAGCTCCCCACTTGGTCCTGACATTTCTCCAGCATGCCTCTGTCACCTATTGCTTTGCTATTGTAAGTTTATCTGTCTTTCTCTTTTATCAAACGTCATGAGGGCTGGGACTTAACCATATCAAATTTGTGTTCATTTACACAAAGCCTGGGAAATAGTAAGCACTCAATAAATCTTTGTAAAATGGGTGAATTCTGAGGTCCTCAAGAGTGACTTACTGATCTTTATATCCCCCAAATGAAGTTGCAGTATCAGGAGGTCAGCCAGGAAGGGACAGATTGAGAGGCAGTTCCAGTGGTCTGGGCAGTGAGGATGTCACAAGCCATGGAGAAGAGTATCTAGACAGAGATGCTAAAGCTGGAGATAGAGGAACCCAACTGGGGGCCAGCTGGACAAAGAGAAGGTTGGATATGAAACAAGTAGAGATGGGGTGGTGTGTTAGTCCAGGTACTCCAGAGAAACAGAGCCAAATATAAAAAGAAATTTATTATGAGGAATTATGACTCCCATGATTATGGAAGTTAGATGTCTCAAGATCTGCAGTCAGTAAGCTGGAAACCCAGGAGAGCCCATAGTATGGATAGTTCAGTCTGAATGTCAGCAGACTTGAGACCCAAGAAGAGCCAATGTTTCAGTCTGAGGACAAACATCAGGAACAAAACTGATGTCCCAATTCAAAGACATTCAGGTAGGAGGAATTCCCTCTTACTTGTGGGAGGGTCAGTCTCTTTGTTCTATTTAGTCCTTCAACTGATTTGGATGGGACCCACCCACATTGGGGAGAGCAATCTGCTTTACTCAGTCTACCAATTCAAATATTAATCTCATCCAGAAACACCCTCACAGACAAATCCAGAAAAATGCTTGCTCAAATATCTGGGCACCTCAAGGCCCAATCAAGTTGGCACGTAAGATTAGCCATCATATACGGGGAATAGGATGAAGTAGAGTTGATCCAGGAAGACCCTCACGGGCACTGGCTTCCAATGAGAGTCCCTCTTCTAGCTGTAGGTTGCAGTGGCACCCCATTTGATGTGAACAGTTCCTAAAGTCTCCCTTCCTGACAGTCAACTGCCTGAGGAACCTACCATCTCCCACTGCTCTGCCCTCAAACCTGCTCCTTCTGCACACTTCTCTCCTGAAACTTTGAGAAAAATAGACCTTACCTTGGAGTCACCCCTCATTCATCCTGATTCTTGATCCTAGCATCTAAACAGTTGCCAAAACCTGTCAATTCTTCCTATAAAATACTTCTCACATCTCTCATTCCTTTCACTGTCTGGTGCTACTCTCTTACTTAGACAGTGATGGCGCTTCAATTTTTAAAGAGAAAAGAGGGTGGAGGGTCGCAGTCCGGTTGCAGAAAAGGTTAAGGAGACTGGTTTTGAAACTGCCTTCAAAAAGCAAAGTGAGATTTTCTTTAGACTGTAGGTTGCAAATTAATAATACAGCAGTTTTATATAAGTATACTTTACATCCAAAGTGTTCATTGCATACCTCAAATTATACATTTATGTTTTTCAAATTTGTGATAGAGATTATGATAAGGAGATCCTACTTTGTACAGCAACTATTAGAATTGTTTCTTTTTTTTTTTTTTTTTTAAAGATTTTATTTATTTATTTGAGAGAGAGAGAGCACATGAGAGGGGGGAGGGTCAGAGGGAGAAGCAGACCCCCTGCTGAGCAGGGAGCCCGATGCGGGACTCGATCCCGGGACTCCAGGATCATGACCTGAGCTGAAGGCAGTCGCTTAACCAACTGAGCCACCCAGGCGCCCTAGAATTGTTTCTTAAACATTTTCTTTGACTCCAACCACTTTTTCTTTTGTTCCTGGATAAGTCTTCCTAAAGTACAACTTCAGTACTATTACTACTCACAAACAGTCACTGGCTCCTCACAGCCTCCTAAATAAGGAACAATCAGTTTGTAAATGGATTCTATGACCCTTTGAAATATAGATCCCACTCATTTTTTTCTGGCCTTATATCCTGTGAGTCACCATTGCCCCTGTATCAGTCAGGAATGCCTTCGGCTGCAAGTAACAGAACATCTGATGTGTGCTGGCTTAAACAAATAGTTATTTTTGTCACATAATAAGAAATTAATAGGTCTGCAGTTCAGGGCTGGTGCAAATGCTCAATGACGGATCCAAGCTCCTTCTAACTCTCTGTTCCACCATCCCATTATATGATTTTTGCTTATTACCTCATGACCTCAAGATGCACTTCCAAGCATCTCAGTCACATTACCAGTAGGAGGCAAGGGTCAAAGCTGAAGGAAAGTGCATGCTAATTGAGCCTGTCCTGTTTTTATGGGTGAAGTGAATACCTTCCCAGAATCCTAACCTACCAATCTTCTGCTTATGACTCAGTGGTCAGAAGGGTGTCACATGGTGGAAGGTGATGGGGTGGGGGAAGGGCAAGGTTAAGGATGAAGGTGGGCCAGCCAATCAGGAGTACCTGCCATGCACACATCCACTCTACTTAGGCAGCTCACTCACCTTATTCCTCATCTGCCTTCACATCATTTCCTCCACCTTGAATGATCTTTGTCCTGCCCCATCTCTGCTTATTGAAGGGCTTTCATTTTGTTTAAGCCTTGATAAAATACCACTTCATCCAAAAAGTCTTCCTGGTCTCCTTCCAAACCTCTCTGACAAAATTTCCCCTTCTGAGATCAACCACTGTTTGTATTTCTACTATACCTAGAATCCTCACACTGTACTATGGTTAATTACATGTGTTTTATCTCCACATCTATATTTTGAGGTCTAAGAGGATAGGGAGCATGTCCCATTCATCTTTGTATTTCCAAGGCAACTCAGCACAGAGTAGGTATTCAATAAATGTTGGATGAATTCATGCATATTCTGTAATATTCCATTCTGAACAGTAAAGTCTGCAGTACCCACACTGTGTCTATAATGGTTCCTCTGATCCAAGTTAAAGGAGAACATCTGCAGTCCTCTGTGAATATTGGCTGCAGTCCTCTGTCCTCAGCCAAAGCAGGGACATCTGTGGTGACAACGTGACTATCTACCAATGCTTTTTATGTCCCTCTGCCCAAATGTGCAGC